TTGGTGCCGCTGGTGCTCCTGTCGTCATCTCTATGGCCAGACACAAGTGTGGGTGTGATAGGTGAGGAATGCAATGGGCGACTCTCACAATTAAAGGAAAATATTATGTAAATATGTTAGGAGAAGTTTTACAGTTATGTTTTACACCACCCTTGCGTTGTTATCAGGGAGTGACCTAGGTTTGGGACATTTGGGAGAGTTGGATCGTTACTGTGGCAACAGCTGACCTCTAATCAAGATTTAAGGAAGTGACTTCCACCACTGGACAGAGAAGGAAGAGTCGATGGACAGAACTTGGCAGGGGCTAAAGGGTTAAAAGGCAAAACCTCCATTGTGTGGGTGAGCACATGGTGGGAAAAATCCTTTGCTCCCAACACTGTAATATTTTCTCCATTCAGTCTTCTGTTGTATTTTTGATAAGGTTTTAATAAACCTTTTAAATGTTTTGGAAGTGAGTATCCTTTCTCACATGGGTATGTCCATGTGTCTGTACGTGCACACACATATGTACAGTTGTGTGTGCCCACTGGTGTCACCAGTGAATGGTTTGGGCACTCAAAGGTACTGGCAAAAAGCAGATTTTAATGCAAATTTGTGAAAATGCAACTTAAGGGAGTTGAATTATGATGTTCAGCCTGTTGCTGGCTACATGGCTGAAGTATGTGTAGGAAAAACAGATTGGAATTCATTTAGGATAATTTACATGGAGGGGATTTTACATTTACTGAGGATGAAAAAGGGTGAGAGTACAAAAAAGATAATGGTGCAAAAGGGTTTAGCAGCACTCAATCATGGACTGCTTTAACAATTAAACATTCAATAGCATTTTTTACCCTTTAACAGTGACAGTAATAGACTCACGATAAAAAGCATTCATAGCAGAATCAAATCACGCACATTCAGAGATGTGTACATCTGTACTGATCTGTGCAGAGGAACCTGTCAAAAATTCCCCTTAGGTTCAGTGAAATGTGTCACATCCTTCAGTGATTCTCAAAGATGGGGATTGCACCTTGAGGGGTGTCAGAGGTGGGGGATTGATAAGGGAACAAAAGAATGAAGAACAAATCAGCATTTAAGGCAAAGGGATCAACAACCAATAGGAGATCAAATACTAAGAATTGTGTCATTTAAGACCAATGAACAAGGATTTCTTTGGGGCTTTGTATGTATAAATATGTGAAAATCTGCTAAAGAGGCATGTGTGACAGAATGAATCTCACTGCACAACCTGGGTGTGTGTGGATGAAATAATTTCTGTTGCACATCCTGGCCAGAATAAAGTAATGACTAAATTCTCTTTCCTATCACATCTTTCCTATCAATTCCAAGTTTTCATCCTGGCCATAGCCCAAGTTGGGAACAATGGTACCATTATACTCAAGTTAGAACTCAGGTAAATTATTTACCAAGGCTAACAGGGATAACTGTTAGCAGTTATCCTTTGTTATCCTTTGTTATCCATCTTGGTTGGCCACTGAAGACTTCTGCTGGTGGAACCCTGGTTGCTGAGAATTTCAGAGACTTTCTGTGCTGACAGGCACTGACCCCCAGGAGAACACTGCATTTGACCTTTGGAGAAGGCTTCCAAAATGCAATGATATAACTGGGATTGTGAGTGTGGAGTTTGAGTAGAAGTGTGTCACATCACAGAGTGGAAAACTTAGAGTTTAAGGCTTTGGAATACAGTAATATAGATAAAGCAAGATGGAGGTTTTAGGGCAGAGGCTGCTCCTTCTTCTTCACCTTCTTCTCCATGGGTTTGGGTGGTTTTGAGTCATTGGATAAAAAAGTCCACATTGCAGGGCATGGGTGGGTGGTTATTGGGTTAAAAATAAAAGTTATTTAGGTGTCATTTCTTAATTGGACAGTTTATCCTTAAAAGGCCTTGTAGAGAGAGAGACAGGGCTCCATTTTTAGTTTGTTAGAGTGAAGTGCTGTAGAACTCAGGGTTTGTGAGACTGTGACAGAGATAAGTGATAAACATCTGAGTCTCAGCAAGAAATACCATCTCACACATTTAATCCTGACCTTGGCAGAGAAAAGCAGCAAAGAATCAGCATCCTGTTGCAGTCAGAATTATTCCCACTTTTACCATGCTCTAGTACAGTCAGGGACACTTTACCACTCAACTGGTACAGTCAAGGGGATGCTTTAAGAACCTATAAATGAAAAAACACATACTTTTGAGATAATTTTAGTTGAGGAGGTAATAAAAAGCTGGTCTTTATTGGAGGCCTTCAGGGGCAGTTATGAAAAAATATCCATGAAAGCCCACGTCCCACGGGGTGAACACAGTTTTATAAGTTTAGCAAATTATCATAATTGACTAGAATTCCCAATTAGAAGCACAGGTGATGAGGTAATTCCCCCTTGTGGTTCTACTCTGTGATGGGTTTTCACTGGCTAAATGCTGGCAGCAACAACAAAGAGAACCACAGACCCAGTGACAGCCGGAACTACAGACCCAGTGACCCAGACCCAGACCCAGTGACCCAGAACCACAGATCCAGAACCACAGACTCAGTGACAGCCAGAACTGCAGGCCCAGTGACCCAGAATCACTGACTGACCCAGTGACCCAGTGACCCAGCACCACAGACCTACAGCCCCAGAACTACAGCCCCAGTGACCCAGCCCCACAGACCCAGACCCACAGTCTGACAGTCCCAGCCCCACAAACCTAGTGCCAGTGCCAGTCCCAGTCCCACAAACCCAGTCCCAGTCCCAATCCCAGTCCCAGCCCCAGCTCATCTCCCTCAGGCAGTGATGGTAGGCAGGGGAGAGGCAGAAGGGGCTTCCTCACAAACAAACCCACAGGACAGCCAGGCCCAGTGCCCCTCAGGGTGGAAAGGAACATGGAGAAGGGGCTCCCTCACAAACAAACCCATGGGGCAGAGCCTGTCCTCACTACCCTGAAGGGCCTGGTGTCCTTCAGGGTAGTGAGGACATGGAGAAGGGGCTCCCTCAAACACCCATGGGGCAGCCGGGCCCGGTGCCCCTCAGGGTAGCAGGGAACATGGAGAAGGGGCTCCCTCACACCACAGTGCAGCCGGGCCTGGTGCCCCTCAGAGGGGCTGTATCAGGAGCCTCGGAGCAGCAGCTGGAGCAGCAGAGGCACACCCGGGGTAGCAAACAGAATGAGGCAGAAACTCTGAGCTGTAGCAGAGCCGCAGGTGTCCCGGCAGGCATGGGATACTGGGTTAGAGTGTAGGGAAGAAGCCCTGAGGAACGGCGGAAAACAGCGGGGCTGGGCAGCAGCAGACAGGCTTTGCAAACAGCTGCCACATGAAGGCAGGAGATGCTAAGTGTTATAAATGAATGCTCCAATTTAATAATTAAGGAAATTTATTAAAAAAATCAAAGTATAAATTTGGAAAAAGCCACAAGTGGTTCAACTCTGAGCGAGACGATCAGGGTTGGGGACACTCAGGATTTGGCCTCTATTGCACCAAAGTCCCTGTGGGTCTCCAAAATGTCATTTCTGGGGTCTGTTTTATACAGGCTTTTGGGCTCTGGAAGGGGCTCCTCTGTGGCATATTTTAGCTTATTGTCATAGTTTTTTCTTTCTTGCTGCTACATTTCCCAGAACCAGTGGATAATTCCTGGAATCCTGTCAGGTGAAAACTTTCTGGGACAAACTTCTGATGGTGCCTATCAAATGCCTCCTGCTGGGGACTTGTCAAATGGAAAGAAATCCCTTGAAATATCCATCCCTGGGGACAGTGTCCTCCTGGTGTTGCAATCTCCATTCTTATCATGTACCCTTTTACTGCAACAAGCCTTTTATTGCTTGTTGCTCAACACTGGCTTTGTACACAAAATGCTGTGGTTTTCACTTCCTTTAGCACGAATTATTTTATAACATATATCACACTAAGGGAGATAGGGTTGGGGTCACCTTCCCAGTGAGGCTGGGTGTTGGAAAGGTCCCAGTTCTTGCAAACAAAGTCTCATCCACAGTAGGAGAAGCAGTGCAGGAAAAAATTTGCACAGAGGCAGCAAATCCTCTGGGCAGCAAATCCAGCACCAAACCCCCATCTTGTCTCCACTGCGATCCCAAGAGAGCAGGAGAGAGCTGAGCTTCACCCCAATCCCCCAGCCAAAATCTTCCAGCATCCTTGCCCTTCCCAAGAGAAACCCCCCCGCTAAGAGACTGCAAACTGCACCCCTTCCCTGGCCACTTTGTCCACATCTTTTGTCTCTCTTGAGTATCTGTGTCTCAGTTTGAGAGTTACCCCAGGACAATCTGTGCTCCCATCTCTTAGGCAACAAACGGGAGAAAAATTCCATGAGAGAGAGAAAATAAAAAGGAAAAATTCTAACTTCCAGCACTGGGGAAAAGGGGAAGAAGGACTTCAGACAAGGCTTACTTTGAGCTTTTATTTTTTAAGATGCAGCCGTCTAAACAAACATACTTTAATGGTTGATTTATACAGTCACACAAGACATGAGTTTAAGCATCCCTTTATTTCATAAGCACCAAAGAAGTCATTGCTGCCCTAGCAGCAGCAGAAAGCACATGAAGCAGCAAACAGGTTTTTTCAGTGTTAGCACCTTTCATTCATGCACTGTTTCTAAATGCAGCTTTCATTTGGAAAAAGGGCTTGTAAACTAAACAGCAAAATATTTCCCTTCCCTAACAGCCTTTCCAACCCATCGTTTCCTCACAGAGATGCTGCCTGCACTCTGGGCTGTGTTTGATTGACTTCCTCAAAAAATGATAAGAAATGCTGTATTCCCTCAGGCCAGATGCCCAAATGTTTCAGTGCCTATCCCTCATACCAGCCAGGGGCAGATGCTCAGATAAATTTAAGGAGTAAATTTTCTCTCTCTATCAGGGGTCTGTCTCAATCAATGACTGTCTTGGTTATAACACAACATAATTCTGCACATTTTACACAATGCTAATGAAATTTTTGTATTTCCTCACTACAGACACTCCAATAAGAATGGGCAAAAAAATAAAGGGGAAGGAGAGGAAGAAGGGAGGGGTGAAGGAGAACAGAGAAAGAAGCAAAAGGAGAGAGGAACCCTAAATATTGCTAAACCCTGTGAGGGCAACAAAATCTCGAGTCAGGATTATGCAAGTAAATCAAGGCTGAAACTCTGTAGTGGCTTGTTGCTATGCCTGTTTTTATTAAGCTGTGAGCTGTAAGCTCTCTGTTTGCATTGCAGCAGTGTGAAAACCTCCAGAGTTAGCACTAGCCAGTACCCACTCTATCTTAATGATATACTGCTTTTAATTCCCCACACCCATGCATTTCCCTGGCCCTCTCTCCAAACGCTGTCACTCTCCATCTCTGGTGGTCTTGAGGAAACAATCAACACCTGTGCAGCAATTTAGCAACCCCTGACAAAGGAACTCAGGTCTCTGCCCCGGCAATGGTTTTTCCAGCCATACCTGAAAAAACAAATACATTCTGTAATTTGAGGAGTTAGGTTATGATTGAATTGGTTATGACAACAGAGTTGGGTAATCTTTGAGAGTCTTGGGTGAAGACTCTCAATGATCCCTCTGAAAGTTACAAATAAATGGAAATTATTTGTATAATTAATAAATGGAGCTCAATCTAAGTGAGCTGGGGGAAGGGGAAGAGAACAAAAAGCAGAGCTCTGGGAGAGGAGGGAAATTCAGGGAATTAGAGCAGATGCTGCAAGGCAGGATTCCTATCTTCTCCTTTCAGCTTTAGGAGAAGGACTGTGCCAAACTCCACCAAATCCAGCTTCCCATCCATTGATCCCCCTGCCTCCCTCAGTCAGGAGCAGGACTGGCTTTGATCTGTTCTGCCCCACTGTCCACTGCAAATATCCTTACCAGGGGCTGAGGCCATGAGCCTCCCGGGCAATCTTCTTGGCACACCGAATGTCATCCTCAATGTTATCATCTTGCAGTTCTGTGGAGAAGGGAGAAAACATCAGTGTGGAGGAAAGCAGGGCAGAGGGAGAGCAGGGACAGACTGGCAGAAGGAAAGGTGTCCATCAGGAAGGAAGGGTGGGTGGGGCATTGAGAAGATGGATGGAGGAAGCACAGACAGAAATGCCCAGAGCATCTGTTGGCAGGTGCCATGGACAGAGCAGGTGCTTTCATGGAATGAACAAATAAAGGTTCTTTGTTCTGTCCTACCACTTACTTGAGCAACTGATGTGGCAGGCATTCTTGGAGCCAGGGGTCCTGCCATCGTTGCACCAGTACTTGCTGTTGATCTGGAAGATGCCATAGTCCCTGCTTGGACCATTGTTATTGTATGCTTTTGTGTTATAATCACTCTCATATTTCACCAGGCACATCCCTGCAGGAGGAAGAGAGATCCCAGAAGAGAACATTAAGGAATGCTGAGGGTAAATAAGAGGAAAGATATGAAAGTATCCAGGATGAATGAAGTGCTGGAGGAGTAATTAAAGTGGTGATATCATAACCTTGAGAATTGGATGGGTAAATTCTTGGAAGGACACAGCTCTCGATGGGTATTTGCTGTATATAGAAGGGAGCAAGGAAGGGGAGGAGGAAAATATGAAATCAAAGAAATGGAGGGACAGAATTGTACTGCTGGAAGATGAAAAAGAAGGGACGGACAAAGGTGGCACAGGCAGAAAGGTGCTGTGGCAGCTCATTGTACTCACAGTCAGCAACAGTTGTGCCCTCGAAGCCCTGAAAGCCATTCCGACGTAGGATCCTCACCATCTCACATTTGGGAATTATTTTTCCCTGGGTGCCTGGCAGAGCCAGGCTAAGGAAAACAAGAAGAAAACCAAGGAAGAGTGTTGACTTGCTCATCTTGCAGTCCACAGCAAGATGTGCCAAAGCAGCTTGAGCTGCCTGTCTGCCAGGACTGCTGGCAATGCCAGCCTTTTATTCGTGCTCTCAGGGGGAGGGATCAGCTGGTTGAGCAAGCATATCTGGGAAGTCTGGGCAGTCTTTACAGTAAGAAGCCAATAAGGAAGTGGGCCAAACTCCAAAACAAAGTCCAAAACAACTCCAAAATTCCTGGAAGGTGCCAGTACCTATTTCACTGATCCTTCAAGGCTGGGGCATATGTTTTCCCCAGACACCCCAGCAATCCTCAGTTGGATATTATTCCAAGTGTCCTGGCTGTAGTTCCCTTGTGTGAGTGTCATGGTTTAATCCCAGCAGTCTGATAAATCACTCAATCTCTCCCACCCTGGTGGGATGGGAAAGGTAAAAGTTAGAAAACTTTTGGGTTGGGATACAGGCAGATTAATGAGGAAAGAAAAAGCCACACGTGCAAGAAAAAGCAAAATAAAGAGGAAACACTCCTTCTCATCAGCAGGGAGATGTTCAGCCACCTCCAGGAAACCAGGCTCCACCACATTAGCAGTGGTTCACGAAGACAAATCCCATCACTCCAAACATCCCCCTCCTTCCTTCTTCTTCCCTCAGGTTTATACTTCAAGCAAGACACTACTCATGATCTGGGGTATGCCATGGTCAGTGGGGGTCAGCTGTCTTGGCTGCATCCCCCATCATGGTCTAGGAATAATATTCCCCAATTTAGCACTCCCATTAAAAAGTCTACAAGCTGCTCTTCTCACATTCTCCAATCCCAAATTGAGATAAAAAGAATTTACTGGGAATGGCAGTGAGTTAAGAATCAACCATGAAAAATGTCCTTGAATAGAACCTCCTGCAAAGGAGGTGAAGAAGGAGTAGCCAGCTTTATATTTTCAATTCATCTCCCTATTATCCCTTGTAAAATATTTCTGAACAATGAACTACATACAACAGAAAGAAACCTGATTTATTATGTTTTTGTTTGCACGGACTGTATATTACAAGCCATGGCTGATCACTGGACATTAACTTAATTGGTCACTACCTCAAGATTGTCACTACCTCAAGATTGTCACTACCACTACATTGGCTGCCTTCGACATCAGTTTTATTTCTCCTACTCTATGCATCAAAAAGCTCAAGAAAATAAGGATAAGAAAAGATCTTAAAAGGTAAAAATAAAAAGAGGCAATGGTTATTAAAGACATAAAGCTAAGAAGATATGGCACAACTGAATAGCAAGATCTCTCATATTGTTGTGTCTAATGAAGAAATAGCAAAAGATGACTGTGCTGGGTGTGGCTGAGGTAATTTCCCTCCCAGTGGCTGGCATGGGGCTGTATTCTGGATTTGTGCTGAATGCAGGGATGATGATGGAGATGTTTTTGTTATTGCTGAGCAGTGCTCACACTGAGCCAAGGCCTTTTCTGCTTTTCACACTGCCAGGCTGGCAAGGGGGCTGGGGGAGTGTGGGGAGCTGGGACAGGTGACCCAAAGTGACCAAAGGCACGTCCAGGCCATTGACACCATGCTCAGCACATAGAGTGGGGGCAGAAGGAAGGAGGGCAGGGATGTTTGCAGTGATGGTGTTTGCCTTCCCAAGTCACTGCTGTGTGTCCTGGAGCCCTGCTCTCCATGGGATGGCTGAACACCTGCCTGCCCATGGGAAACAGGGAGTGAATTCCTGGGTCTGCTTTGTTTGCACATGTGACTTTTGCTTTCCATATTAAATTGTCTTTATCTCAACCCATGAATTTTCCAGCTTTAACCTTTCTGGTTCTCTCCCTGATCCTTCTGGCAGGGCAGTGAGGGAGCAGCTGTGTGGGGCTCGGCAGCTAAACCACCATTGGCTGACAAACTCAGGATGCAGGAATTATATTCCTCTACATGTTTTCAAGTTCACAATCCTTGAAAGGGTCCTCTATGCTTTATTTCCTCCTCTAGCTCCAAAGCAAGCTCATTATCCTTTCATGCTAACAATGCCGCACAGCTTTGAAGAAGGAAGGATTGAGGGTTAACAGAGTATTTTGGGAGGGGATTGTGGGTGAGATGTTGAATATAAGAGCTTCTTTTTTCTTCTCTAGCAGTCACAGAGGACACTGGCAGGAGAAATAATTTCACTGGTTTCTTTATATATTATTACATCAACTGCCATCACACCTAAGTTGGAGGGAATTGTGCAAAGGCTTCACATTTGCCATGAGTTCCAGGTAAGGAATCCATGCCTCTACAACCCTCTAGCTCAGTGAGGAGCTTATGGGGGTTCCTCTTGTTGGAAATTATACCAAGTTTAAAATTTCTTGTATAACATTAGTCAGGGGTTTTGTTTGCCTTTGCCCAAATGGAAAGGAATTGAAGTTTATTTTCAAATGTTTTACCACTCCAGGCCTGATGAGCTTAACATCTCAGCAGGCTGGAGGTAGCACAGAAGATACACAAAAGGTAATAACAATCAAGAATTGTCTTAACAACCATCAACTCCAAACATCACCCTCCATCAACCATCAACTCCAAACATGGTCAGAGACACCTGGTCTGAGAAAAGATAGATAAGAATAAGGACCTAATTAGCATCAGTCAGAGAGATCTGTAACCAATAAGAAACCAAATACTACAAACTGTGTGACATGGAACCAATGAACCTTGAACCAATGGGTTTTGACTGTATAAAGTTTGTGAAAAATCTGGCAAAATTCATGTGTCATGGATTTTCTCTGCACAACCCAGGCTGTGTGGATGAAATTATTTCTATTGCACATCCTGGCCAGAGCAACATCCTGGCCAGAGGAAATAATGCATTGATTCTGTAACACTAAAAATTTTGTTGGAGAATTTTGTTTTTCCCACATTTTCAGTAACAACTGTGGTTTATTCCAGGCAAGTTTTTATTGTTTCTGGGAAAGGGATCTCCTTTACTAAGGCACTTTTAGAATGTGTTTCCTGGAGACAGTTTGTTTAGTGTAAAATTTCAGTGCTTGGCTTTACACTTGAGTAAATGGTTCTTAAAGGAGTGACAGGTATTACAAAATTTGTAAATAACTGTGAAATATGTATTTGTTATTTTATTTACCCTTGCATAGTCCAGAATTTGTTTCCAAGACCCACTTTGTATAGAAGGTTGGACTTTTTAAACAAAGTTTTGCACAACTTGAGATTCAACTGTCAGATAAGAATTAAAATGGAAAAAAGGAGCCTAACGTTCACAACAATAGCTTTCCTACATTATTTGAAGGAACAGTGGCAATTCTTTGTGGAAATGTAACACCTGAATAGCTTTTATTTGCAGCAAGGTTCACTGCTCAGCTGTTCACTGCTCTTTCTGTGCCACAGTTTGAAGTTGGCTTCCTTACTAGTCACTGGTGCTTTTCAGGATTGCTTTACTTGTCTGATTCATAAGGGAGGTGACAGTGACACTTGTTAGAGCTTTTGCTGCCAGGGGATTCCCCAGCAACTTAGACTTGAAGCTCAGCTGAGTAGAGTGAGCTACTTCCATAAATTGGTCATGTGGAAAAATATTTTTTCTCTGATTTTTTTTTTTTTTTTTTTTTTTTTTTTTGCATGGGAGTATTAAAAATGTAATTACGTCACTTTAAAGTCCTGCCTTATTAATTTGAGTCTGTGGGTTAACGGGAAGGATGAAGATAATGCTATAAATAAAATTGTTAGCAGATGATAAATGGCCTACACCTGGTGAGCTAACACAAAGATTGTTCCAGAATGACTGGCCTATGGAAACTGCACAATGCCCATTGTGTAAGGAGACTGGAAATTCACCAGCCTCAGTGTCCTGCCAGCTCAGCAAGGTCACCTGGAACATTGGGGTCCACAACCACCAGGGACCACCAGAGACACTCCCCAGGACAGAAGAAATGGGGAAATATGTTAATGATTTTGGGGAAATCATATGAATGTATGAAAAAATATATGTATAAAAATCATATATATAATCATATATATCATATGTATGTTTAGTCTGGGACAATCAATGAATATGTATAAAAAATACGGAATATAAACAGAAACTTTCCTGCACTCAGCATGCACAGCTTTGGGAGGAATTATCCCCCTGTGCATCTGGCTGAATAAAGAATGCTGCTTTTTAATGCTACATCGGTGTTAAGGAGGTTTTTTATTTTACTGAATTTTTGGTAACAAAAAAAATTAAATCCCTGTCCTGGATTAACTTAAGTGACAGTAAACCAGCATGAGGTTGTTACAAAGGGGTTTGCAGAGAATTCCTAGCTAAAAGTCTTATGCCATAATCTGATGAAGAGCCGCTGAGGGAGCGGGGAAAGGGGCTCAGCCTGGAGAAAAGGAGGCTCAGGGGGGACTTTGTGGCTCTGCACTGCTCCTGACAGGAGGGGACAGCCAGGGGGGTCAGGCTCTGCTCCCAGGGACAGGGACAGGAGGAGAGGGAAGGGCCTCAAGCTTGCTAGGGCAGGTTCAGGTTGGACATCAGCAGGAATTTCCCCATGGAAAGGCTGCTCAGGCCTTGGAAGGACTGCCCATGGAGGTGATGGAATCCCCATCCTTTGCTTTCTTATTTACTGTTTACAGCTCTACTGATCAAACAAAGGTTGAAGTTCAATTCCCAGGATCGATGGCTTTATTTGTTTGAGTCAGTACTGCTAGGCTCTGGCACAAATTAGTGTGTCATGGGCAAGGAGTAGAGGTTTCCATGCATTCTGCCATTGTCTTAAACCTTGGACCTGTGGCTTCCACTCTGCTTCTGGGATAGGACACACACATACAGCACTGTGGCAGGGGTTTACACGAGACGGGTTGGAAACAACTGGTCACAGAACCATAGAATCATAGAATCATAGAATCATAGAATCATAGAATCATGGAATCATGGAATCATAGAATCATGGAGCCATGGAACCCCTGACATGGAAGGGACCCCTGCAACTCTTCTGTCCTGAAGAGCCTGTAACTGTCCAGAAGAAACAGGTGAGGAACCTTGGGTAAAGAACCTTCTCCTTCTGAGTGAA